AAGATAGAGCTTTAGCAGGGAAATGCTGATTGCTGCTGCTGACATTTCATGGTGCTTCTTTAAAATGATGTGATGATGATGAAACCACACACACACACTGGCCCACTGAGCAGCTGCTGTCCTCTGAGACGCACACGCACACAGGCGCACAATGTCCCACTGTACTGCAGTTTAATGATTAAACATAAACACACACAGTTTAGACACATGCGGTTACACCACACAGAGAATAATAAGTCAACCTGTGAATCTAAACACAGAGTACAGATAATTGCTAGTGATAGTACCTGTGCTTATAGCGGGATTATTCTCCACTCCAGGATGTGCCCTGGGACACCTAGTGCAGCTATGAGTTATTTACCATGCTGAAGAAGGCCATTTCACCAGAATGTAATCAAGGGACTGACAAATGACTCTTGGCTGTTGGAGATGTGGCTCTTATTTGTATAGCTCTGGAGGACAAACACACTTTCAAAAATTCATTTCAAAAGCAACTTATTGGTCTTTTTAATCAAGATATGTGCAGCAGTTTTACAATTTTACAACACTTTTCAGTGCTTCCACTATTGGTACATCGATTAACCCTTAAGAGCTTCATACTGTTCATACATACATTGGGTCATTAGATATTATACATATTACAAATGTATCTACAAAATGCCATGTTGATGTAAAATGTTCAGAATGTTTTTTTGAACTTAAAATACTAAAATATATTTTGTGATTTTTTTAATTATTTAGTGAGTATGTATGCATTAAAAGGTTAAATATTCAGTCAGAAATATTAATCTTAAGCTTTGATCTGGGCTGCCATATAAACCCTTAGAGGTCAAGAGTTATTGCTTTAGTTTGTCTACACTATCCAAAAGTAATTTTGTAATTACAACATTAACTACATATTAAGTTAGAAAGTGAATTACATTCGATTCAGTTTCTGTATTCAAAGCTTCAAATCTGCAACTTTTTTCTGAAAATGATCATTTTTTTTCCCACAAAACAAAGCTGTACACACGACAATAATGTTTCATCCAATTCAAATCATACACTTATCTCCGGTTGTACTTAGAAACCCAAATGTAATTTAAATTAAATGTTTAGAATCTAGAGAATCTAGATTGAGGCCTAGCTAGTCTCTACCTCAGATGCTGACCACAGATACAGTACATGGAGCATCTGATATTTCTTAAATGCTAAGCTGGCCAAAACTATGGGATTTTCTCAGTTAAACTCTGATTGGCTATCCGTATTTATGCACTTCCGTGCACCAGTTTCAATCTTTAATGACATGTCTTTTACAACAATAGAGAGTAGCTGGATTGAGAAATGGGCGAAGTTCATCACGTTTTAAAGTTATTCAACAGTTTTCTTTGAAGCATTTTGTATCTAGTAGATTTGCACGTTTGTCAGCACATACCAAATTATTTCCTGTGGGCCTGTTTTTGCTGCAGCTCTGGCACTTGCGACATGTCGCTCGAATGGCTCATTCCTGTCAAAGTAGGTGGTTCTTCACCACGTTAAGCATCAGAGCATTTACATAATAGCATTCATCAGACTCTCTTATCTGGGGTGGCTCACAATTTAATCATGTAACAGAGGTAGGCGAATGTAGCATTAGGAGTCTTGCCCAAAGAATCTTATTGGTATAGCATTGTGCATTTGTCCTAGTGGGAAACCGAACCCTGGCCTGCCACATGGAGGGCGGTGGTGTTACCCACTACACAATATCAAGTGCTAAAATACACCAGGCTCTCTGACGACTGGCAAAATTCTGGCTTGCGAGACTAAGGCCTGGTTAGAGCAGTGTGTGTGTTGTTGGCCAGGGTTTGAGACAGGGTGAGGCACTGGTCCTGTCGGCCATCAGCCTGAGGTGCTCCCACCTCCCTGCCCTAGTTTAGTCACACATACTCTCATCGCAGCCTGTGATGTGCCCTCAAATTGGGGAACAGGGGCTTGGGGTGGGGAGACGTGCAAGGGAGGATGTGTGTGTAAACAACCGGAATGGAGCAGTAGAGCTGATGTCGGGATGTTTGTAGGACAGAAGGAATCAGAGCTTAGGGCTGAAACCCACACATACACTCCTCCCCTGCAGCTAAAGTTATGGTTTTCTTCTCAAAAGTCTGCATCACATCATGTCCTAGAGGAGAGATTTCTGAAAGAGTTTCTTATAACTCAGAGAGGGAAAGAGAGAGAGAGAAAAAGAGAGAGACAGAGAGAGAGAAAGGGAGAGGTAGAGAGAGAGTGCTCTAAACTAAGATGGGACCACATACGCTCTTGGTTTATGGACACTGTATTGTTTCCTGCTGTAATGAACGCCGCGGTGGGGACAAGTGTAATCACATGTATTTTCACTGATACGAATGTAATAAGGGTGATAATTATTATTAGGAGCAAAAGCACATGCACAGGAGGACGGCTGGAGAGGGCCGGATTAAAGCAAGCCCGTTCTGTGCGCTGGTTTTAGTTGCCATAGCAACGTTCATTACCTGGCACTCGGGAGTGAGGAGCGAAAGAAAGAGAGGGAGAGAGAGAGCGGGACAGATAAAGAGATGGATGGAGGGAGACGCAAAGAGGCAAAATATCCAGGAGAGAGGATGAAGAGAGAGCAAGCGGAGGACAGGGAGAGAACAAAAGAAAAGCATCCAGCAGGATTGGAGGGGAAGAAAGAGAGAAAGAAGGAGAGAGACAGAGAAAGATGCTGTTGTCCATCTATTCTCTTGACACCAGGGGACCAGCCAGAGTCATGGGAGTCCATGCTCCTCAACACACCTGCAGCAGGTCTTACAAAAAATAGAAAGACAGTATATTTGGACAAACAAATATACTTCCCTCTGGCTAGAATCTCAGATTCTCTCCTTTATTAGCATTATTAGTGTTATTAGCATAACTGAAACCAATCAACACTTCTTGTGTGTGAGATACTGCCTACTTTAGTACACAGATTAACTCAGAGATGAAAACAGAGAGGAAAATGTAAACATAGTGCAGCAAAATAAACTTAAAAATGCAAAAAGGTTTTAATAGAACAATGCAAAGCGAATGAGGAAGAGAACAAAGAAGGAGAACAAAGAAAGAATGAATGGCAGAAGAAGAGGGAGAGGAAAAAAAAAACAGGTGACAATAAGGCCCGTGTGGGACCATAGAGCCGGGCGCTTGTTGTAGAGATCGGAGTTTCAGCAGGTGTCACATGACCCGCTGCCCTGCGCACCTGCCCGAGAGAGTGCGAGCGGTTGCCATAGCGACGGGGTCAGAAGCATGGAAAGCAAGGTTGTAAAGGGGGCCTGTGGCGGGAGGTGGGGCGGCGGGTGCATGTGTTTGAGCGCCGCACAGAATGGTGTTATTTTAAAAATGCTGCAGGGAGAGCATCTAAAAACCACACTCGCTCTATCTCTCTCTCTCTATCTCTGCCTCACCGAGTGGCACATTTCAGCATAGAAAACCCTCTTCTAGAGGCCTCTTGTGTTTGAGTGCTAGATATTAGGTTTGGATCAATGGAAAGGGTTAGTGACTGGCTTGATTTTAGGCCTACATGAGATGCCACTGATGGTAATATTCATTAAGCACCTTAGGGCTTGACTGCAGATTCTGGGTCGTTTTTTTGTGCCTAAGGCCAGTTTTAACCAGATATAATCTTATCTTAAGTGACCTTTCTGGTTAACCTTTTGAACTCTAGGCTTATTATTCAGTTAATTAACCCTTTAATGCCATATGTCGGGCCACACTTAATTTCCTCACTCTTGTAAAAAGCATAAATGACATATTAGTTCCCTAGTGATTGCTGAATAAATCATAATAGATACAGAAGTATAAATCTTAAGATAAATACTAAGTAATAAGGGGTTTATCTTAAGACATTATTCAGTAGCTACCATGGATAATTCAGTAACTGATATGAATTATTTGGTAACAACTCATATGCAATGTGATTTCAAAAGGCTATAATTAATTACTATGTAATTATTTTTTTTTTGTTAATTGCCAGTTGTGTGAAGATTTCAGGATGAAAAGACCAATAGAAACGGTCCAAAATGACTTGGAATAGAAACTTGTTGCCTGAACTTGTTGCATGAACTTTTTTATTCTTCAATTATGGCGTTTTTCAAATGACCACCATTTAAAAAAGTACTAGCTAGCCAGAATTGCTGTCTGTGGCCCTCACGTACCACCAAACGTGGAGTAAAGAGTAAATCAGAACCTGGAACTCCTCCATTGTTGCCACTGTTAACTGTTAACACTAGATTTGCGTGAGAAATCATGTGACCACACAAGCTAAAGAAACCACCACCTCCTTTCATGGTTCTCTGATGTGATGAGAAACGGATGCAGGTGCTCGACCAGCAGATGGATAGCTTTGTTTTCCGATTTGTAACCATACTATGCTGTACCGAACTACCTGGTAGAAAAACTCCATAAAGTTACCATTTTGGAGATATGATTTTGTTATAATATTGACTATATGTAAGCTAAGTTGTTGTGACTATGTCCCACATACGGACTCTTAGAGTTTAAGGTGTTAAAACTCATTTCTGCTTAGAGATTCTGGCCCCCAAAAGATGCTTCTGCTCACTGAGAGCAAATTGATGCCCAGGACGAATTTAGCAGTGTGTCATCATAGCTATCATGGCTCATTGGGCTTGTCTGGATGGCTCTGCATGCAGATGCTGGCTAGGCAACTTCTCCATTCTCTGGGGTATAATGTTCATACAACATTTTGTTGCTGTTGTAGTAAGACCTCATATCTCCACAACAGTAACTTTATAGGAAAAACATTCAGAACATCTTTAAAATTAATGTTCTTAAAAGTTTCTACTTGTCCACAACTCAAGACATGTTCACACAATGTAAAAGGCAGCTGGCATTTTCTTACTTTTGTTTCCCAATACTGCTTGTTTTTATTCAGAATGTGATAGTCAAGTCTTAGTAGTGTCCATCTTAATAATTCAAGCTGTGAGCTCAGGCTTATGTGTCTAATCTTTGTCCTCTGTCTCCTTGTCCATCTGCAGTGTTCTGATGGTGGACAGTCGCAGGACAGCTCGCTGAAGCGGGTGGCAGTGGTGGAGGATTTCTTCGACATCATCTATGCCATGCATGTAGAGATGGGCGCAGATCCAGGCAGAGCACCCAAACATGCTGGCCAGAAGAAAACCTACAAAGCGGTGAGGAAAAGTTCTGCACTAATTTAGAGTTGAAAATGCACAACATCCAAGCAAACTGTGGTAGGTTTTATTGAGTTGTGATACCATACTTATCCAAATGGGGCAGCCGTTATGACCAATGAAGAGTGTATGGTCTGTTGTTGGTAATGTTGGAATGCAGGTTAACCCCTTAGACCACAAGGGCTGTACATGGGTCCAAACTTAAATTCCTTACTCTCATAACTACATAAATTACAGTTTTATATTAGTTACCAAATAATTTATAGTACTCAATAGTATGTCTTTAGATAAATAAATGAAATAATAGTCTGCAGTTACAGAATTAATATTGTAAAGCATTAATAAAGTGGTATTCCTTGTATTCAGTAGGAATGTAATGCTACGTAGAATTTGAGGTTCAATACGATTTTCGATTTTGAGATCAAGATTCGATTCTGTTTTCGATGTGCTAAAAATGTTTTGATTCTGCAGGGTTTTAGTTAAATTCTGCATTGGGCTCAAGTTTCCCAAAAGTGTCTTGGTGTTAAGATCATCTCAACTGATAGAAAGAGTGTTCATTGTGAATCACGCTCCACCATTTGAGATTCATCTTTGTAATAAGATACTTTTGGGAAACTCAGCTCAGATCAGTTTGGCTCAGATAAATAAATTGTCATTGTCGGGCGTGCTAGCTCTCTAACAAAAGAAGCCCCCAAAACTGCAATGAATGAAATTAAGTGACCAGGGGTGTGTTCACTGCACATGCCCCTGCCCTTTTCGGCCCTTTTTACTGTGATAGGATACACCAAGATGTTTGATTGACAGCAGCTTTCACAAAAAGTGGCAAATGAGAGACCCTCAGAAGATACTAAGGGAGGTATCAGTGATACAGTTCTAAATTTGTGTATTTAAGAATAAGTTTTAAATACATTGTTTCAAACATTCATTGTTTGATTTTTTTGATACTGATACATTCAATATTAAATCATTACAAAGTTATTAAGCTTATTAACCTAGTCATTAATCAGTAACTATATATTAGTACAGTAATATAAATAATAAAAATATGGAAAAGTAATATGTCTAATGGCCCTTAGGAGTGTGGCTAATAGCACGGCTAACAGTGGTTGGTTCAGGCTGTTACTACTATCCAGAGGTGGAAAGTGGCAACTTACAAGTAATTGTAACAAATTACTTGTAACAGTAGAATTAAATCATAGTAATTTTACTTTTAATTGAGTTCATTTCTTATAAAGTACTTTTACTTCACTGCTTTAATTTTGAATAACTGTTACAAAGTAAAAATAAATGTGCATTTCAGCTCATAAACCAATTAGAAGAAACCCTAGTTAAATTTGACAGATTCAGTTCTGAAAGCCAATCAGAACAGAGTAGCCCCCAGCAGGAAACACTGTTGTAACAAAATAAGCCCCAAAAATCACAACACCTAGAATTATTAAGGTACCTTGGAAAAAAAGGCCACTCATTAGTACGTGGGTGTGTGCACTGCACAATCCTCTCCCCATTTCCCATCCACTTTGCTCTGATTGGATGCACAAAGATGCCTATTTTTAATTGACACTTGTTTCCACTAAAGGCAGCAAAGACCCTAATCTGAGAGGCCCTCAAAAGAGACTGGTGTCCAAATTCAATACACTGTTTCAAACATTATTCATATTTTATTTCATGATACTGATACTTGAAATTGTCACACCCTTATCATTCAGTTATTAGCTTTAATAATATTATTCAGTAACTACTTCCAACTCTAAAACTTATATGTAATATGAGCCTCTGCAGTTTAAGAGGTTAAAACCGAGGTGAATTAAAATATGAATCTAACTAAATAAATAAGATGCTTTCCACAATTGCTATCTGGCTCTGCGTTAAAAATGAATTTGTAAGCATCAGTACTTACAAGCAAGATAAGAACATTTTATATTAACTGAGTAATGTCCTAGGTTCCACATTCATAGATCGCCATACAGTAATGTGTTGAATATGACTAAACAATGTATTGAATATGCAGATTTCTCATGCCACAGAGACTTTAACCATCAAAATGTGCAATCTTGTATAACATATGTCAGCGATATGACTGATTTAACACTATTTCATAAATGCCTAATGGCCATTAATATATTTGCATGGCTAATAGTGGTCGATTCAGGCTGTTGCTGCGGCAACCGCGGCCATCTTGCAGCACCTGTAGCGCTATTGTTTGAGCTGGGCAGCCGAGAATGCTGTAGACCAGGCAACAAAGCGCAGTTCAAAATTATACATAAAATAAGGACCTAGTTCACTGTGTCTGTGGGGTTTTATTCTATGAAATGCTCACCTACAGATACATTTAATATGCCGTACTGCACCCACAGCCTATAAGGTGTCCAAAGAGGATGGTAGTGAAGCCAAGGGAACTCAAGAGCCTCTGACTCGGGAGCATATTATTGCATCTGGAGGGAAGGACACCCTCACATTTTTTCATTTACTTCATAGCGCCTCTGTCCAATTTCATTTCCCTCGGCGAGTGATACAGAACGGCTTATCGGCGGCTTCTAACAATGTAAAGCGAGTGCTTTGTGTGTGAACAGCTCTCTCCTCTACCTGAGTAGCAGGTTAAAGGAGCCTGAGGGTCTCTGAGCTGTACTCCTTACTGACTCTGTCTGAGAAGGGTTCTGAAACACTTGGAATACATATGTAGCCCTCTAAAGGTCGATGTGAACATTTTTAACGTGCAGAACTGCTTCACTGGTGCAAAATATATCATTCTGCCAATGACTGGACATTTTTGTAAAATTAATGATTTTTAAAGCGATGATTCATCCATAATCACATTTTCACAATTTTCACCTTCACCAAAATGTGTTAGATTAGTAAAGTCATGTTTGATGTTTTGACACCAGTTAACTGTGTGCCTAAATTATTGTATACCTAAGGCCAGGCTGGATTGTTAAAGGGGAATTTTGCCAATTTTTCAGAATTGAATTATCTAACATAATTAAATCACTTAAATCAATGTCATTCAGATGGTTTGAAGTTAAATGGGTGATTGTAGAGAAACTTTCCGACTTCGATTTTCTTTTGATGGTGGTGGTAGGACCCAGGGGTCGCAATGTCTATGCAAATATAAGCATTTTATTTACTATCCAAAATGACAAGTGAATCTACATGTGTCTTCTGAGTTTTTGTATGGAGTGTTGATGATGATAAAGTAGTGGACATTTGAAAAATTTTGTGACTCTTTGGCCTTACAACACCCTGCATGTACCTCTCTGCCATGAATAGCTTTTTAAAAAGTATATTTTAGGCTAAAAGCTTATCTTGAAACTAGCATAAAGTCTCAGGCATCAGGGAGCGTATTCAAACCCATTTTGTTTGATATCTTTCTGTAATGTAGCTTTTAGAGGCATTAAGGTCTTTGGACGTTTGGTTCCTATTAGCACCACTTTGGACAGTTCTGACTTGGTAAGTTTCTCAACAACAGAGCATTTCATATCAAAGCACTTTGACCCAATATGTTTACATTTTAACCACTGAATTATACGGGAATGTTGAAAAATCAATGGAGTTCTTCTTTATGTAATCTCATATAGACTTGCTTATGTGGTTTCTGACATTGTATTACATACTGTTATCTAAGAAGTAGACACATAGCTAAAACCAATGCAGTGTTATTCCTAGTAAACTGACCGCCTTGAAGCAATGGTTTTGGCCAAAAAACAAATGTACAGTTTCCCCTTGCTTGTGTAAATATGATTTTTGACTAAACCGTGCTTTAAATTTGGCTACCAACCGTAGAGGACAGTCATGCAAAGCAGTGCTTCACTAAGCCTGCAATTTTTTTCTTCAAACCTTTACAGTCATGTTATTGTAATTAGTAACATACAGTGTCCTGGTCCAAAGACATTTTGTTAAGTTAAGTTAAACACAAATTCTACAGAGAACACACTTCTTCACACAATTACTGTTTATTTGCTGAATTTGAACGTGAATTTAATGTAATAAAAATGTGGCCTGTGCAAACGTTATGGCACATTCTGTATTTTCTGTTTGTTTTCAGTAAAACATATTATTTGACAGGGAGTATTCAAATATTTGCATACAACTGTATTTAGATCCAAGATCTTCTGCCGTTCATGTCCCTGTGACTTCTATGGGCCCATACCAGATAAGCACTCTAAGAAAGGCCTGGTACGTACAGGCCCTGAGCTATGATCCCACAGTGTGTGAAAGCAGGTGTCAGGTTCCAGCCCCCGTCGAGATCTCTGCTAATCACCTAATTAAAGCAATTAGCCGGCTGATAGGTCTGTTTTTGACATTTGGCACGCAGAGTCCCACACAGACCCGCTCAACTGTCCATCACTGACGCTAGCCGCTATCTTATTGCCCTGAGTGCTCACTGATTGGCTGTGACTTTTAAAATCAGCTGTGACTGGCAGAGATGCTCCGTGATTGGTGTGATTTGCTGTGGTTGGACAGGCTTTGATTGGCTGTAATCAGCCGTGACTGACGGTGATAGGTTGTTTACCCCAACTCCACCTCTGTGCAGAGGTGTTAAAGGAGAAGCATTGTTATTTTGAATCCTTTCGTCTTACTTTAACAGCTCTGCAGTTGAGCAATGTTTAGTATTTTCAAGATTCTGAGTTTCAGAATTTTAATGTTAGCATCCTTGGCTGAAATGAACATGTATGATTTGGGCCGATTTTGAAAGTGACAGTTATTAAGCTCTGAGAGGCTGATTGAGACGTGAGTTGTGTGGCTCTGCTTTTTACATTTTAGGAATGGGATCAGCACAGATATGTTTTTACACATTTTACACTGAGACACTTCAGCAGTTCGAGATTTGTCCCATTGGCCCACTATTTCCTCATCCTGTCAGCGTCTGTGAACTCTGCCCTCTTGTGGGTATATCATGTAGCTGCATTTATTTGACACTTTTGAGATGGGCTGTGCAAACTGTTTTAGAGGTACTTACACTCCACCCATCACAGCAAGTTTAGGTCTAAAGGAGCGTTTCAACCAAACATGCTAACCAGGCTAGTATGCAGCAATTAGCATGATTATTTGCATACTGCATATTCCTCTTAATACGGTGGTGCTTATATGTATTTGTAGCTGCGTTAGCATGTGTGACTGAATTGTTCCTTTAAGGCTGTCAATGCAGTGACTCTTTTACTAGCTCATGTTTAGTCCTGGAATCAAGTCAGGCCCAGTTCCAGAACAAAATAGCTTAGAAATTAAGTGAGCGTACACACTAGGAAAGTGCGTAGTTATTCAAAACTATAATAATATGTGCTTCTGGCATTTGTTTATGTTTATATTACAAAAATTAAGCAGTTCATGAATTTACTGGAATATGTATTATTCTTTAATTGCTACTTTGTGGAGACCACACACAGAAAAAAATTAACTGGGGCTCATTTAAGTGACACTTCACGTGAATAACATAATACAATAGCTTTGTATAATAGACTTCAAATACTACTTTTTTTAAATGAATGCATGTGCATGATAGTTAGCCTAATTGCTAGATAAGTTTGATTAATATCCCATGACATGTGCAAACATTTACGACAGAGGGTGCTAACTGCAGAACCATTTAGAGCGAACACACAAATGTGTCAGGCTTTATCAGATGTATAAGGGCTATTTATATTAATTAGTCTTCATACTACACTTCTCAAGCCCTTCTACATATCTGTGTGCTATGGCGGTGGTCCTATGTGTTTGTCTAAGTGCATTTTTCCAAAAGCACAAGGGTGCAAACAATTAAAATAAAGACTGGTGGAATGCAGGTTGAATGCGGACCTGACTAAAAAGGGAATTCTTCCAGTTTTTTTTTTTTTAATTAAGTGATGGTGATAGGAACCAGAGGTCACAATGTCTACAATACAAACATAGCCATTTTATTCACTAAAACCGCCAGTGTCATCTGAGTTTGAATGTGTAATGTTGGTAGTGGTAAAGTAGTGGTTAAAAAAACTAAATAAATAATAGTATATTTTCTGTTGACACTGTGATTGCTCACAACAGCCTCTCTGCCAGGAATGGATTTTAAAAAGGTTTTAGGCCAAAAGTTTCTCTCAAAATTATTATGAAACGATGTTTCAAGCATCAGGCCGCGTATTCCTAACCATTTCATGTAATAACTCTCCGTGAGGGAGCTTTTAGAGGCATTAAATTCTTCAGATGTCTGGTTCCTATCACCAGGGCTGTGAACAATTCTGACTTTAGTACAGAGCATTTTACATCAAACCACTCTGAATGACTTTGTTTACTTCTTAACCACTAAATTGTGCAGAAATTTTGAAAAATCGATAGAATTCCCTTTTAAGCAGAACTTTCAGGAAGGGCTTTGTGTTAGAGAAAGGGATCGGATCAATGCCTGTCACAACAGAAGAAAAATGTACAGGCCTAATGTGGTTCAGAAAGGAGGAGAGAGTTGAGCAGGAGAGAGTTGAGGAGGGTAAATGTGAGCCATGCGGTTGTGTGTGTGTGTGAGAGAGAGAGATTTGGGGACTTGAGAGGTTGGATAGGGGTCTGTACCCTGCCCTGGGGCTTATGTTCACCTCCTCTCCTCAGCCTCTGCCCTGGAGAGAGCTGCTGTCAGGTCTCATAGCGCGGCCAACACAGCAAGGCCACGAGGGGCGGGGTGTGTGTGACTGTGGCATTCTGGGAGGTGCGTGTGTGTGTGTGTGTTTTTTCCCTGGGTGGCCTTTTCCCTCTGCACTGCCCAAGGCAGGAGGAGCCTGCTGTTACTGCTCCTTCTATCTCTCTCTCTCTCTCTCTCTCTCTCTTTCTGTCTGTGTGAAGGTCGCACATAGAACAGCAGAAGAAGAGAGCGAGAGAGAGAGATAGAGAGAGAGAGGAGACAGAGAGAGAGAGAGAGAGAGTGAGAGAGAGAGAGAGGCCAGGCTTTAGCACAGGATAAGCAGCTGTCTTTTGACAGGGGACACAGATACTGTAAATGTTCGGGAAATGTAACCTCTTTTTTCTGCTCTATGTAACATTAAATACTGCAGTGTGTGCAGTTTGTTTTACTGTAATTCCTGTTCAGCTTTCAATAGTCAATCTATTTATGCTCCATCTCTACTGTTACCAGGTTAGACAAACTTTACAGAACGTAGACCTCTGAAGTTGTGTGTCTGTCTGTAGACAGCATCATGCCCACATTAGGAGCTCTGGGTCTAAGCTGATTTTTTTTTGTGGCAAAAATGAATGTGATTGACTTTAAAACACCAGTCTGTTGTTGGTTATATCGCATGTCAGTCATACGTCCCTTTCCTGTCAGCGTAGGCTATTCTTGCCACGTTAAGGCAGAAGTCTTGCTTGTGAGTGTGAAGCCATGGCTAACATTTACCAACATACATGTAGGCTAAACACAGGGATAAGAGGTACAATTAAGTAGGCTACATATAAAATCAGTTAAGTAAATGTCAGACTCAGAATTTCTATATTGCAAACCTCCCCCCAAAAAAGTCAACTTAAAAATGTTGCTGCAAATTTTTAAAAATGCGGCAACAATCACAAAAAGTGGGCACAAAATCCTGGGGAGCCTGATGGGTGCACCGTAGAGCATGCCAGCAGAAACTATTGCAACACAAAAAGGTGACTGGATGAATATGAAGTCTTTGCTCAGTCTCAAAAAATACCAAGCCACAGTTGTATCTCTGGTCATGTTTAGGTGTTTATACAGTAAATCAGTCTTGTGGGTATGTGGATATTAGTCATAAACCTGTACACACCACTACACGTGGGGGCGGAGCATGAATAGGTTGATTGCACACCCATACCTCGAAAAAGGGATCCTGTGATTCCTTCTTCTTATCTTCTCTCTCTCTTTCCCTGGTGGCCAGATTGCAGAGACGTATGCCTTCCTGCCCCGCGAGGCGGTGACCCGCTTTCTGATGAGCTGCGGGGAGTGCCAGAAGAGGATGCACATCAACCCCAGTACTGCAGAGTTCAAAGGTCAGACTCCTTTTTCACACCTCCAAGCAAAGAAAGATTGAAAGATTGACACATTCAAAAGTAAGCTTTAGCTTTTCCTCATAGTGTAATTCCTGGACATTTATGTGATAATGTTTATGATATCAAATTTATTTAAGACACAAGTACTTTTCCTGCATTCTTCACAACCATGATTTTGCTGTACATAGAATATTTGAGACTTTCACTCACATGAGATGAGCAGAAATGAATGAAAGTTTGATGCAAGAAAGCTATAATTCAGTTACATAATTACACCATATCATACATTCAGCTTCTATCTAACCATATAAACACATCGCTTCTTGAGGCGATGAGCCGTGGCATCAGTTCACAGTCTGCTGCCAACACATCTGCTTGCTAATACACCGATATTTAATTCCTTGTAGGAAAGAAGGGAGCCATAATGAAATACATCCTTTAACATCTTATTTATTTACAGTCATATGCAACAGTTTGGGCACCCCTGGTCAAATGACATGTATTGTTGATTTGAAGTGGAAATAAGATAAAATAGTATTTTCTGAATTTAACATATTGGGAAAAAAATTAAACATAAAATGTGGCTTGTGCAAAAGTTACAGTGCATTTTATAATTTATATTTTATTTTTTCCAGTATGTTAAACTCAGCAAATAAATAGAAACTAAAATTTGCAGAAAAAAACGGCATGTTTAAGTTTCCTATAGAGGATGTTTTAGCTGATTTTTACTTTAAATCAACAAACCACATCATTTGACTAGGGATGTTCAAACTTTTGCGTGCGACTGTACACCCCTGGGCAAAAAAATGGGCCAAGCCCAAAATGCTAATGGTTTTTACTGATGGTTTTGGCTGATCAGATTCCAGATTTAAACCCTATAGAGAATATTTGGTCTCACATTAAAGACAAACTAGCTTGGAATATTTTTGAACTGTTTGAAACCAGCAATGCTGAATGGAAGAATACTGATTCTTCTTTCTGTAAAAGGCTGTCTGCAAGCCACAAGACTTAAACATCGACAGATGTCCCATATTAAGTTGCTTTACCAGTTTCTTTAATGATTTGTTGGTAAGACCATCAAAAGCTTCATTTTTTTGCCCAGGATTGTATATATCCTGATATGGTGTGTGGTGTTTTTGTGCAGATATGGTCCAGCCTTATTATTTCATTATAATTATTTCATTATACTGGTCTACAATACATACAGTCTATTACAGTCGGTAGCCCATTAGATACTTCATCACAAAGACATGACGTCTGACTGCTGTTAGTCACGTAAGTGACTAATTCACTCTGTTAGTCAAGTTCCTTAACAGACACTCTGATGCTGCTGAAGGGATCTTCTAGGATGTCATTTTTGAGTATAGCTCAAGTGAAACAAGCACTGAGTGAGGTTCTTTAATGAATTAAGGTTAAATCCTCCTCTGCATCTCATGTTTAACCCCAACTCCCCCATCTGGCCCCCAAAAACTCTTTGTACTGTTACACAGCTTTGTCCTGTTATTTAATAGTGTGAGAAGGAGCTTTAGAGTCAACAGACCTGTATGAAACAAAGGCAAGTCAGTGTTTATTGTGTTTGATTTAACAAAGACCCAAGGGATTTTCAATAGGAGTTTTGGTACTGGATTGATTTTCAACATCGCCCTCCAGTGGACAAATATTGAATTTGTGCTTGAACCCAAGTGTTCCACCTGCACATATTCATAATCATTTACATATTGTCTCTGAAGGAACAAAACCTTGTATCTCCATTTTCGTCTTTTTATGCTACCTGTCATTTACATTGTGTTCATAATGAACGAACCAACAGAAACAGCCCAATTAAATCTTGTTAATTTAACTTATGTTAAAAGTTGGGAATTTTTTTCTTTCTCCTGTAGAGTAACCTTTTTGGGAGATGCAAGGTTTTGCTCTGACAAAGCAATTGAATAATACATCTCTGTTTAGGGGTGTACATCTCAGACATCACAACAATTCAATTTGGTTCTGTACGAAATGACTCAGTATGCTATAAAATTTTAAATTTCACCACATTTGTAAAACAAATGTGTTGAATTTACTTGATTTAAGTGTGCACTTATTTTCCACATTAATAAAATAAAATAAATACAACAAATAGATTAAAATATAGTTTTGTATTTCAGTTGATTTACTCTTGGCAATAATTGTGCTGATGTACCATTAAATTCATGTGGAAATTTTATAGGTCTACACATTCGAATCAAGCATGCATTCTTAGGGCATGATTTAATTCAGTTGTACACTGATACAATACACTGAATACACATGTAACTGGAGGAATCACTTACACTGTAGTGGAATATAGACAATGAAACCAATACACCAAAGTTTTTACAGTTACATTTATGTTTGAAAATAGCCTGAGAATTTTATTTTGGGCAACAAATGAGTGCATACTTTATTGAATATCAGTAGCACTTTACTGAAGGGCAGTGTTCACAACACAACAGCTACATAAGCCTTTCATAATAACTAATAATTTTTTTAATATAAACCAATATAGACATTTACAAAGGCTTAGTCCAGTGAGCATCCGATGTCATGTTTAGCCCTTGGAAATGTAAACCTTATAACTTCACTGTGAATGGGTGGAGCTAAATTGCTGTAGGCTGCTTAAGTGTATACATGTAGAGGTTTTTGTGGCATCACAGTAACAATGAATTCAAACTGTGTTTCAGCTTAATGTCCATATACACTATGGACTGGGGAGCGACCAGTACATTGTAAAGTTTAACAGTGTTTGGATACTTCATCAGACTTTTCTATTTCAAGAAAGAGAGAAAAATAAATAGTGTACATGCTGAGGGTCAACTAAAATGTCTAGAAATAAGTTGGATCTTATAATAGTCTTACTTAAAGGATCTACTAATGAGTTGATTAAGTTTAAGGTGATTTCACTTGCCTACACATAATTTTTTGCACTGTTTATAAAACCACTTTATATGTATGATTGTGTAAGCGGATGTATGTGATTATGTTTACGTAAATGCAGCAACAATGCTGAGAGACTAAAAGAGATTTAACTCCCACAGAAAATGACCGGCCCACCTCTCTGGTCCCGGACCTCATCGACTACAACATGCCTCTTACTGCCACCTACCTGAAACAGATGAAACTGCAGTGCATGAACACCAATGAGCAGGTGAGAGCAGAGTGGTGCTATATACTGACCAAACAGAGGAATAAACAGCTTTATTACAGTTTTATAAAAAGACTTTGTTTATTTCTTTTAAACACATAATTGCACACTAAGAATAGATGGAATGATTAATAAATGCATGAATTTATCACTATGAACCAAGCTGGATTAAGTGTTTAAAGATAATGAAGGAATGAATGAATGAATGAATGAATGAATGAATGAATGAATTTATTATTGGCCACAACAGTGTAAAACTATCACAATATTTTCTATCACAAAATAATAAAATAAATATATGTTTTATTATTTTGTTTGTCACTTATCTGAAAGGAATTGTTAAGGTGAGAGGGTAGGGCGTGGGGGACCAGTCATGGGTCCCTAGCTAGAGATATGCATTTAAGGGTTAAGATGTGTTGGTTGGTGTTTTTTGAGGTCACTTCACTAGCTGTTCAATTCCATTAATTTATCCACTGAATTTGCAAGGCATTGTAGAATATTCATGTGTTAAATGATAATTCAGGCATTTTGGCAATTGTGTTTTTGGCATTGTGTCAGCCCTGCTAAAAATGGAATGCATGCTGGTCTAAGCTGGTCTATACTGGTTTATACTGGTCTGGTGCTGGTTTAGCTGGTCACCCTGCATGGTCATGCTGGTTGACTAGCATATCAGCATCCAAAAAACAACACATGCTGGTTTTGCTGGTGATTAGCATATCAGCTTCCATTGCTATTGACCAGCATGCCAGCATCTAAAACACAACATAAGCTAGTTTTGCTGGGTGACTTGGTATGCTGGTCTATGCTAGTTTTTCTTGCAAGAAAGCTAATAAATGCTTAGCATTTGACTGTAGTGAACATTGTAAAGAAATGCTTCAGTAAACACAGATGTATGCAACTGCCCACGTACCCCAGATATTGTCAATCAGCCAAGACATGTTTGGTGTTTAAATTTTGCTTCTTTAGTTTAGTTATGAGGCTAACATTGCTAAAAACACTAGAAGTCAATAGGCACCCAAATCTTTTACATAAGTATGTCGCCCAAAATTTTCCTCAAACCGCATTTAAGACTTCATAAGAACACACAAACTTGCCAGTGTGGATTAGCGCACAATATGACTTACTGTGAGGTATGATCGTTATACTATAAGCATTACTTAGGCATGTGGACTCATGATTTCTGTTTTTTCATTTTATAAATAGCTATTAATGTCCAATTTTCAAAAGATATATGTTTATAAATAGTAACAATAGAGATCCTGAATGAAATGTAGCATCCATATATTCACATGACATGTATTTAAGAGGAAATCAGAATTCAGCACAACACTAACACATCTATGTATAAAATGGTCATAGTGTTGAGCTACAAAGTGATGTTTTGTTTATATTTATATCTCAGTAAGTCATACTGTGTCCTAAACCACATCGACAACTCTGCATGACCTTAATGAAGACCTGGATGTGGTTTGAGCATAAAATGTTTTGGAGATGTATTTACAGCAAAGATTTGAGTGATTATTGACTACGAGTGTTTGTAAGCGACATTAGCCAGTGGAACATCAGGACTGGCAAGGCGGACAAGGTGACAGGATGCAAGTGCAAGACTAAACGCTAAATATAAGATGCAAAATAAAGCAAGCTATGAAAACTATAATTTACAAACCACACAAGCTAGGCAGAATACATAAATGCTGGCCAGAGAACAAAGGAGACAAGGGGGTGTATATGGACACCCTATTGACCAGAGACACCTGAGAACAGTAAAAGATGGTGGGGCAATAGACTAAAATCAGTTGTGTAATGATAACGGAGGCAGGACAAGGAAAGAGACAATATCTAAAATAAAAACAAAGGCACGTGACCAAAGAAAACAAAAGCACATGACACAGAAAACAGACTAGACTGGGGCAGAAACAAGCAAGGGGAAAGATGGACTAGATGGAGTCCCTGACAGCCTTATAACTCTGGCACTAAACTAAAAATGCAAGCATGGACACCAGACATGGCTAATTAACTACATCTGGAGCAAATTGAAGTGGACACTTGTGTAAATTGGATTTTTCACCGAACCATTACTTTGAAGTCCTTCTTTATTGTTGTACATTTGGCCAGAGTCATTTTCTATGGAGTGTACTCTTGGTGGACGTGAGCTCTCGTTTAACTGTTTGAAAAACAAAAAACACTTTGCATGTAGTTTGAACGTCATGATGTAACATACATGCGTCACATTCATTTATTTTTATTGTTTGCACAATAGTGACATTTATAGTCTGTGCATAGTATGTGATATTACACATGAACAAAGGTTTACATATTTTATTACAGTTCCTCACTTCCAATGTGGTGCCAAGTTGAGTCCTATATATGTAGCCAGAGTGTCTAAAATGCTTTTGAATATAAAAGCTGTACAGTTCTATACATTATGGCACAGGCATGGGGGCTGTAATGTGCAGTATGTGGTTGTCAAGGTAAACTCCTATAGCTTTGGTTGCCTCAGCAACAGTATGTACCTGGGTGCCTAGAATAGCATTTCATTACAAATACCTCTCTCTGTAGAGCTTAGACATGTGTCTGTATGAAATGAGATTTCAAAAAGCCACCTAACTGTTATTAAGTTGTGCATAGAGACCTGTTATACTGATCTGCCCCTTCCAGACACACTGCAGTTTTTCACTGCTAGTTAAAGCATAGCCTTGACTTATTATTGAATCTAACTAGTGTAAAGGATGCTGGATTTTAGTTCATTAAGCAGGACATGTCTAATAACAGGCTATTTCACGATATTAACACTAGGAGGCACTGTTTACCTGCTCAATATGGTGTCCAGAGCGCGTGTCAAACATCTACATTCATCATAGGCAGTTAGGAGAAGAGCTTGAGCAGTTTTCAGCGAGATCCAACATCTAAATGGATGAAGAAACAAGGTTGAGGAAAGCAGTGATCGTGTTGGATTATTCTGAAAGATGCCCGTCGATGAGATAATTCTACTGTCTTCAGGTGCTAAAGAATTCTCTGAATCTAGTGACAGGAATGCAAAAGATTTTAGCACAAATCTGAAGATTTTTTTCAAATCAGTCTCTTTTGGCTAAAAAGTGATGTTTTATTACTTACTGCATCATATTAAATCTACTGTTTAGGTCACAACATGGACTACTGATATATCTACCGCCTTCAGTGTGCTGAAAAATTCTCGGCACATAGGCAGGTATACAATACTAACCTATTACCTGAGCACAAACCTTAAAATTCGAATCGGGTTTTTATCACTTAATGTATTTTATTAAACACAATTTGTTTAAACTAAAAAGTTTGACTGTGAAAGTATGAAAATTATATATAATACAAAAAAATCAAATAGATCCTAATCCGTCTATTCGTTGTTAGGTGTAGGTTTACAATACTTAATCACTTTAGATTAATCGGAACTTATTCCGTGGCGTCATAATACATGTAGTTTGGGACCTGAATGGGTTAAAGGGGACGGAGTGGGTGAGGAAGCAGGTGGAGTCACAGCTGTCAATCAGCGCCGTAGCTCCGTGTTGGCCCCGCCCCCTCCCCCTCCTCCGGTGCCAGTGGGAGACTCGAGTGCTCAGAACAGAACTAGAACCACCGGGACACTGAGGGAGGAAAAGCCCCGGGGTTTAAAGCGCTCTCACCGGCTTGGTAAAGGAATTCAAGCGAAAAGATTAGACCTGTTAACAATGAAAGGTAGGTGATAAACAGTGTTTTTTGCCTTCCTTCATTAATTATGAAGAAATGGGATGCAGCCTCCTGCCTGTATCGTACCGAATGCTAACGTTAACCTCTGACAGACCGAACTCAGCCCGCTGCGGTTTGACCTCGAACATCTCGAGGAGCTTTAGCATCCAGGCTGTGTTTGGGTTTTTCTCGGAGACCTGTAGAGACACAGTTAGCTTGTGGGTAGACGGGGTAAACCCTGTAAGACCTATACCTGCTTACTGCTTCTTAAAGCCAAAGCACATGGAGGGAGCATTTCTGTGCTGACCTTTGAACGAAATTTGAGAACTTCATGTTTGCCGTCTCCTTCAGCGCTGTCGTTTCCCTCTCACTCCTTAGGCCTCAGATATGTTGACATGCGTGATGTTCTTCTCTCTACTGTGTTCTTGGGCTGAAAGTTGTGGTACTTCTGAAGAAGTCATTTTTTCTGCTTTCACTTTCATGCTTTAGGTCGGTTTAGATGACCAGTATGAATTCAGAATTAAAATAATTTAATATTATATCAGTGTGTTTTTTCATCTTTACAGCACTGCTCACTTCCACCCTCTGCTAAGCACCAGAGATGTTGACGCACAGGTTCACGCCTTGGTTAGGGCTCTGCTCACTCCGTTACTCCTTTCCCTTTTTACTGGTCCCCCACCTAAAACCCTCAGCATGGTTTTTTTTATTTTTTTCAAAACTCGGCTACTGCAATCACACTAATTAAAGACCACATACATTTGCATATAACTTCTGTTCTCAGTCAGCTACGCTGGCTAATAAATCTATTCTTAAATTCGGTGCAGACTGCTTTATACCACTGTCAGAGTCTCACATGAGCTAAACCCCCTCTCATCTAGTTCAGCTCCTTCACCTTCACCTTGAAAGCCCTCCTCATGCCCTCGGGTGCTTTAGCCCCTCAGACTAGGCTTTCTTCCCTGAGTGGTAGGTCGTTCAGTGCCATGTGCCACCCACACTCTAAATCAACTACTCTAATATAGCCATGACTGCTCTTCTCCCAGAACTACCCTGAGCAGCTTTAGGTTTGCTCGGTGCTTCTCCAGCCTCAGTCTTTTTCTGTTTATGGTGCTGTTTCTCTGTAGCTTTGTCTTTTTGTGTCATGTGCTATTTTGTTTCATTGATTGTTTGCTCATTGATGCTCAACAAAGCTACTCTACAAACAAAATCTAAGATAATAATAATAATAATAATAATAATAATACTTCTCATTGCCATTGCTAAAGGAGATTCGACCCTCCTTATATTCTCAAATGAACACCCAG